AATGAAATAGACTTGTGATGTTAACAATTTTTTTTATCACTTTATTAATTGTGATTACTACTGGTTTCAACAAATTCCAAGCTGGATTGCACTGAAGAATACTGGTGAGAATATTATGAATGTCGCATGATGGATGGTGAATGTATTCAACATAAATACATAACTTTCACACTATTGCAATTTTACTAATATATGTTTTCATGGTTAGTGTTAGTCTTCACTACAACAAGCAAGAGAACTTAATAATCAAAATTAGTGTATGAACGAAAACCTGAAATTATCAGATGCAAGGAACTTTTAAAATCACACCCAAATTAGGGTGTAAAAAATATATTAGTGATATTTACATGGATGAGATCTAGCTATCATTGAAGTTTCCTTTTGAATGAAATTTGTGCTTGATTTTATGTCTACTTGCAGTTGTTAAACAGGTATTTGACAATAAGCAAAATCATGTGAAGCCTAAGGTTCTCTTTATGTGCAGAATTTCATACATTTTGGGACTGGACAGTTAACTCAAGGTTACTATTGTAACATGCCTGCTACAGCCAGATATGGCTAAAACCCAGAACATACAAGATTGACAATAACTAGCTTCAAATATCACACTGCTGTACATAGCTTCTAAATTATTTTGTAAATGTTTCTGTCTACCACAAACTACACTCATCAAGGTTTACAAGTTAATGTAGCATCCTCCATAATAAGCACTTTTGCAGTAATGATCCCATCATCAATCTAGACTACACAAGAGCTTTGTAATATGACAGCTTTTTTATTTAACATGTTGAGAGGAGGCCACACCCAGCCACTGGCACTTGGTGCAGCTTATGATGCTATACAGTACAGTGAATGGTTGAAATTACTTGTAAACTTTAGTTTATAGTTTCTGTGCATTAAGACATACTCTAATATCATTCTAAAGTGTGCATGTATGGTATGGCTATGGTGATTGGATGTAATTATTTGAAGCCCAAACAATCAACCTAGTCTAATTATCAATTAGGTATTCTTTATTACTAAATAGTTTTGGCTGATAATTTGCTGGTGTGTTGAGGAAAGCCCTGAAAAGGGCTCTTTGAAGTTGTAGATTCAATCCTGGGTCTTCTTGTTAGAAAAGCTGATGTGCTGTCCACTTGACCATGGTCTCCCCCTCTCCATTAGATATTAATCAAGCTAACTATTTGAATGGTTTCAAGAGAGATATCCAGGTTTTACTGACTTTTGTACAAGGTTGAATCAGTGTATTATCAGTTATGTTTGGTTCATATAATATTATTTTTGTATTATTTCATTTTATTGTATGTTTTTTTTTCTGACAGATGGACTATTTCAAACAGATCACTATTACAGTGTCTTGTAAGTCTATAATGTTCCTGAATTTTGACCCTTGTTGGTCTTTTTTTTGTTCTTCCAATGTATTGGGATGTTATATTTACAAAATACGTTGTAAATGATGTTTTTTGCCCTCCACTTGGGCTTTAGATAGCTTGGTGTGTCATAGTTGCAATCATATTTTGTTGTGGCATCTGAATTCTAGTCTGATACTGTTTGTAAATCCTCTCTATGTTTTTCAGAGATCTTTAGAATAGGGAAATGGCTGTGTGCCTGTTTATTATTGTTGTTTATCTTATTGTTCAGGGTATGTCTTTTCAAGGATTGTTGTAATGATGAGTTTTTCTTCCTACTTCTTTTTATCTTTTGTATTATAAATTACTAATTCTAAAACATATGAATTTTTGCAGTGCTGGGGTAGTTTGATTTATAGTCAAGGTATTTACCAGTATCGAAATAGTTGTTTACTGAAAATTGTTTAATTCTTGTGTGATAATAATAAGTCTATAATAAAAGCAAACAATATTGTAAAGTGAAAAGTGATATCATTTGATAAAAAGAAAAATGTGCCTCTCAGTACCATGAACCAATAAATTTCAAATATTTGTCAGTATACCCACAATTGGGTTTCATGGGAAAACCAGTAATACAGTAAGACCTGGTGCATTACTGGGCACTAGTAAGAACCAGTAACTCAGTGAGCACGATGCAGTAGACGCCTGTGTTACTTGTTTTGTTGTCAACTTGAACTACAAATAGGAATATCAAATTAAGTAACTAAATGTCCTTCACAGCTTCCATTTAGACTAAAATTAAAACATTTCACAAATATATTACTTAACAAATTTGAAATAATCAACTATCTTTTGTTTTGAAATGTAATACAACATACACAATTACTCAGGCAAATAAACAAACTATACATATCACCAACAGCAATGTAAGCACAGGATTAAATTCATAAACTGTGTAAAAACATTTCTTTAAATATGTATTATTTATATTAAAACAACTGCTTAATTTCCTTGTATATATATAAAAAAAAAAAAATAAATCATGCTGATCTTAAATTACTTAACTGAATAACCCACACACACTTTTGTTGTGAACTTTCATCATTTGTAGAAATTTCTTCCTGTTTATGAAATACAGACTGGAGAGGAAGTCTTCCTATAAAACAAATGGTGAAAAAATGAGTTAATTAATATTTTCTAAGAAACAGATATCAAAACAATTATTACTAAACAAATCAGCTATTTTGATCTCCTTTGAAATTTTTTGTTTTATATGTTTCATAACTTATACTTTAATATCCTCCAAAAACATATTAAATAAAATGACAAGAACTTGTGGCATTTCATAGAGTAACAAAGCACTCCATTATGCGATCTTCGGAATAGTGGGAGATTGTTACATATTAGAATGTTAAATGGTCTGAAATTGAGTTAACTGATAATTCAAATTTAGTAGTTAAATTGTACTTTGGATTTAGTATTTAAATACATGCCGATATATTAGTCAATTTATGATATTTGACAACAAGATTGATACACATCGTCTTCGTTTTTAACACAAATACGTTTTAATATACACACAACAATACAATTTACAGTAATAGTTATTACAAACAAAGATTTGTAAACAAAAGTTTCACAAACTTACAAACAATATAAAATCTTCTTTCTAGTTTGGAACTCCCTTGATATCTTATCAAGAGTTTACGATGAGCGAGTTAATTACGAGTTGATGTAAGTACGATTCGCTGGGAAGCTAGCTAGCTTTGTCCTTGGCCACACACACTAGGTTTTCCATGGTTAAAGTTAGGTAATGTTTTTGTAAAAATACTAATGTCCGATGAGAATCCACTGAAGTTAAGTGATTTGTAATGTTCAAAATTTATAAATATTCCTAGTCAAATATCTTAAGTTTTCCAATTGATAAGCATTGTAAAAATCACAATAAACCAGGGAACCTTTTAGCAAAAAGTATGGTATAAACCAGTTGTCTGCAACCTTTTTTGATCGCGGGTCAATTATTTTTGTTGTTGAAAAATTTAGCATTGTGTTGGATCAGTGATAATCATATAATTATTAATATCGGTACATGTATTTTAAAT